TATCACCAAACATGTCTCTTTGCATATCAAAGAAAGTAGATGCTGATAATATCTTCATTTTCTTGTAACATGCATGGAACTAATTAATTAATTTCATCAACTTCAATTATCCACAACCAATTTCATTAGATCCTATAATTAAAGGTTTTGTGTAAGTAACCCCACTAATGGGCTGCAATGAATTTAATGACCAATGATTGAACTTGACCGAAAATTCTCTCTTTCATTCTCTCAAACCCATGGAGATTGGTGTGCTTTGATGTGTGTAATACTCTTTTCCATCTGTTTAAAAAAATTAAAATCATTAGATGATGAGTTCAAAAAAATATTGCCTTATCATTGAGAATTTTTTTTAAATATGATCAATTTTTTGATATCAATGTATTAGAGTTATTTTCAGAATTAGAATTATCAAGAGAAGTTTTACAAACAGATTGCAACACTCCAATAGAAATAATAAGTAATATAAAAAATACTAGATTCTTTTCCAAATGTATCAATTGCTTATAAACAAGTATTGACAATACTCGTAATAGTTGTTTCTGTTGAAAACAGTTTTTCAAAATTAAAGCTTATAAAATCCTACTTACGATCAATTATATCACAAAAAAGATTGAAAGAATTAGGCCTATTGTCCATTAAAAATGATTTATTAGCAAAACTTGAATGTAAAAACTTAATCACTAAATTTATGTCCCAAAAGGTGAGAGGAGTGATTTTAAGTAAAATTTTAATCATATTATAGATATATAATATATTTTAAAAGGGCCCATTAAAAACTTTCGCTTAGGGCCTCCATTTACGTCGCACAGGCATGAACCCACCCGTTAGGGGTGTCCATGGGCCAAGCTAAGGCTTGTGAAAGCTTTTTCAGGCTGGGTCTAGGTAGTGTAAACCCAAGCTCTTACTTGGGTGAGTTATCAGGCAAGTCGGGGCGAGATTCAGGTAGAGGTAGGTTACACGCAACCTAACTTGTCACTTATTGGGCGGGCCTTTTTTTTATATGTATCTTCATTTAAAATGTTTTGAATTTAGGATTTTTTGTAAATTATATTTTTAAATTAAAAGTAGAGTCAAAATAGATAAAAAAAATAAATAATGAATAATATCCTAAATTACTCAACTTAGTATTTAAGTAAATAATTTTTTTTTAGAGCAACATGCCACATAACTTTCAATGGTCAGTATTTTTTTGCAGGTGAGCTAATGGGCTTGGAGGCAAACCAAAGTCTTCTCTTGAAGGATATTGGGCTCTAGTTTGAGAGGGTCAACGATCAAGTTTCAGATCTATTTTTTTGGATTAAGTAACGGATCCCATGGGCCAGCCCAACACATAGACACCCCTACCACCCATGATATTTACGCCTGTGGCATTTTGTTGATGGAGACATTTACAAGGAGAAAATCCTTTGTGAAAAGTATGGTGGAGATTTGAACCTCGAGCAGTGGATGAATGATTTGCTACCAAATTCCATAATCAAAGTTATAGATGCCAACTTTGTAAGGTCAGAGATTTGAGGCTGGATGAATGATTTGTTACTCATCCCAAATGTAAACATCGATCACTTTGGCTGGAAAAGAAGAAACCACTCCATTAGAGTCGAATTGTTTTCAAAATGGGTGCTATTTGGTCAAACTTATCAAACTTGATAAGTATGAACTTAGCTCAATAATCGACATTGAGAATTATTATCCCTTAATCCAATTGTGGTATTAGATTAAGTCCCCATGCCAGATTAAGTCCCCATCTATCTAAAAGCAAAAGCATGTGCATGGTGTGGGCAAGGCAAGTCACCATACATGCTGAAAGTGAAAATTCATTCTTAGTCCTTTCATCCCACCATCCAAACTAATTACAAAATTATGACATTTTAAAGCAATAAACAACATGCATGCTTGAGCTAACTCTTGTTTACGCTAAACATGTATTACATTACTAACTATAGTGAAACACTAAATGTGCGCGATGATTCTTGCACAATGAGCAAAATGATAGATCTCCCCCCTATTGAACTCAAGATTTGCTTGGAAAGTCGAATATCCCACTAGGAGTTGAATTTTAGAACGGAGGTAGAACTCTTTTATCCACGATCTGTTCACTCGTAGACTTTGAACGGAGTCCTGTCACTCAAATAGAAGGGTTAGAAGGTGTGAGAGCGTTTTCTGGCGTGACCCCTTTGACGGTTAAGTCAGTGTTTGAGAGAGGATTGGAAAAGTACTATTCTATTGCTTGGGTCAAGGTTTGCATATCTTAGACTTAGGTTTTTATAGTGTTATTTATACCTCTTTAGGAGCTAATCATTGCGGACGGCTGGGTCCTTTGGAGGGAAGGCTCCCCATTGGCTCGCCCTTTTCTCGTGGTAGAAGTTTCTACCTTTAATGCTCGGATCCCCGAGCATTTAATGCTCGTTTTTCTGACTTTGTCGAATAATAAATATGTTTCATCATTTTGCTGGGTCATTGAATGAGCCTTGGTTGTGGCTGCGCACGTGCTGGGGCATCTTTGTCAATTACCCCCCAAGAGATCAAGACTTCAATGATTTGTACTTCGTGCACCCTTATTATTGGTTACTGAACTGTCTTTCCTGCCATTCTAATTGCCTTGGAAAGGGGGAATAACAATTGACAGCTAACTCTGTTTCCAAGTCTTGATAATTATCAAAACAACTATTGACACATCGGCGACGTGGAAGCCTTTGCACCGAGCACACGTGTCAAGCAACTGGGGCTCCATGGACCTAAGTGCCGAGGACACACATATAAAACAGGGAATGCTCTAGGGGACCTAAATACTGAGGACACGCGTTGAGCGAGCAACGCCTCAGGATTCATACATGTCGACGACACACGTCAGTCACAAGGAATTCATAGGGTACTCACGCCAAGTACACGTGTCACTCCATGGAGGCTCCAAGGTCACTATGCCGAGGACACGTGTCGTCTCCCCATCAATCTTCGAATATGTCCAATCACTAAATATCATATTACTATAGTTAATCAAGAGTCGAATACTCCTTAATCGAGAATGAAATACTAATTTTTCAATTATAAATATTACTGTCCAAATGGGACTACAAGTTCACAGCTACCAGACACTTTAAGACATTTTTCAGCTTATACAGACTAATTCTTGAGGTTAGAATCACTTTCATATTATGAATGTAGGTGCCATTCATGGGAATTTTGAAAAAAGGGAGGAAAAGAGGCGTGGGGTTGGGGAGGAAGCAGACTTCTTTGCAAAAAAAGTTTGTAAGAGTGTGAGGCACGACCAAATACCAAATTTGACTCCCTTTTCTTATATATTTCAATTATAAATATCTTCCCACCACCACCACTATCCCCATATGTGCAATAAAGTATTTCAGAAAAATGCTTTTTACCCAAAAAAAAATATTAATTAAAGTCATTTTTGACTAGGACCCTCACTAGATCTCATGAAACGCACATATTCAAATTGAGATTTTTTCAAATCCAAACAATTTCATAAGTTTCAATTGTGACTTTGATTTTTTCATATATTGACAAAAAAAATTACCTTGTATTTTATTGCACTGTGACCTTAATTTATTTATATTAACAAAACAACCCCACGATAACTTCCCAGTAAATTCCCAATGATTGTCGGTATCTTAAACCCATGACTAAGGCTCCTAATCTTGTACCCTCGTTGAGTGTTGTAAAAAAAAATAAATAAATAAAAATCAAGCTTCTTCAATTCATAAAATAAAATAAAATAAATAACTAAAGTCAAAATATCTTTCTAAAATCAAGCCCCTTTCCAAAAATAAGTTCATTCTTGAAATCAATCATGAAATAAACATTATTCCACCAATAGTCAAACACTACATATATAATATTACTATAATGATCGAAACCCAAATATCCCTTAATCGAGAATGAAATACTCACTTTTCAATTAAGATTACGGATAATAAAATGAACTTTGAAGTTCACAATTAAGAGAGTTTGAGACATTTTTTGGCTTTTGTACACTAATTCTTGAGGTTAGAATCACGTTTAGGGGTGACACAACGAAATTTGAAAAAAAGGAGGAAAGGGGATTGGGGTGGGGGAGGACGCAGACTTCTTTGATTTGAAATTGGAGCCTTTTTGCCGTGTCTTTGGGGGCAGTCATATAAATATTTCACCAGCATAAAATAGAAGACATCCACAATAGAGCTATTGCTATGGAACTTTTGCCATAAATTTGTGATGAAATTTTATTCATAGGTTTTCAATCCTACAATTAAAACAAAGCCTAAAATCATGTCATTTTGTAAAAAAAATAAATAAATAATAAATAAAGTAGAATAATAATAAGATCGAGAAAAATAAGTAAAGTAGAACAACAATCATGCTTGAGCTGCTTTATTGTTTCTAAGGGACTACGCTAGTTTAAATACTCAAATTTAATTTCGAATATTACTTGGATTGGAGTATCAAATTTCAAGAATCAATCCCAACCCGAACCCCAATCCGGTTTAAATACTTGTGTTCAGCCCAATTTAATGTAAAAGAAAGGTAAATATTGTTGGGCAATTTTTTATTTTTCAACTCTCACAGGCTTTATTTGGTTTTTGTATTAGTGCGTAAAAGTCAACTAAATTTGTTTCAAGATTCCATTATATTAGGTTCATATTATGAAATTTTTGGCTCCACCACTGACTAACATCATCAACTACATATTTGGTAAAAACTACTACAATATTTGATAGTCTTAAACTATTTTTTCTTTAAAGGACTAGATGAAACCTTTTTTAGAAGAAAACAAGTGTGGCCCATTGTGTTTTTTTTATCACCGACTCTTGATAGTGGTGGTGTCATTACTCTGACCAAAATAGTATTCTTGACATGAAGCTTCCTTATGGCATCTCTATAAGTACCTTAGTCACCATCTTTTACCAATCAAGTCTTCTTTGCTGCGTGAGTCCAAACTTAACACCCTCATGAAGAAATTCATTTTTCTCTTTTTTGCCACACTTTTGTGGGCAAATAGTTTCATGGCTTGCTTTGCAAGGACTGAAACAAACTTAGACTCCGATCAATCAACTCTTCTTGCCTTCAAAGCTCAAATCAGGTTTGACCCTCAAAATATTCTGGTAAAAAATTGGTCCACCACCACCCCAGTTTGCAATTGGATTGGCATCTCTTGTGGCGTTCGTCACAAAAGAGTCACAGCCTTGAATCTTCCCAACATGAGTCTTAATGGCACCATTTCTCCATATCTAGGAAATCTCTCATTTCTTGCTTCCCTCAAACTCAGTAACAACACTTTCCACGGCCATGTCCCCGAGGAGTTGGGTCATTTGCGTCGATTGAAGGAAATTGATTTGGGATACAACTCTCTTAGCGGGGAGGTTCCATCATGGATTGGAATCTTACCAAAACTTGAAGTCTTGATCATGCATTATAATAGTTTCACTGGTGTTATCCCGCCTTCCCTTGGCAACATCACTAGCCTTGTGGTGATGCGGTTATCGGTTAATCATCTACAAGGACATATTCCAAAAGCAATTGGTAACCTTTCCAGCTTGAAGATATTGAGATTGGGAGGTAACCAGCTTTCTGGTTCCGTACAATTCATCTTCAACATGTCTTCATTGGAACAGATTATTCTTACAAATAATAGTTTATCTGGTCCCATCCCAGGAGGTATATGTAGTCAACTACCTGATGTCAAAGAAATCTATCTTAATTCTAATCAGTTTCAAGGTCTTCTCCCATCCAATTGGTACAGATGCGGGAAGCTTCGGATTTTATCATTGCCCTGTAACAAATTCACAGGTAGCATACCTAGAGGAATCAGCAACTTGACCATGCTGAAGAGTTTGGATCTTACAGACAACACACTGGAAGGTAATCTCTGCATAATGTGTCATTGTTATTGTAGCATATTCGTGAGTGCTAACAAACAAGGTGTTAGCGATGGCCACAGGCTTGGCCAAACAATTGCATATAAGCTTAGTTGCATATTGTGTTAATTTTTTGACAAAATTCATTATAGTTATTAGATTGATTGTGAGTCCCATCAAATATTGAAATTTTGTGATATTACAAAAAGCAATATATGGAAACCAATTGCAGCACCCGAAACAAGGATCTGCCACTTCGAATGTTGAGTCTACCACCGCAGACTCATCAACAAAACATAATAGACTCCCATGTAGTGCTTCCCAAGAATGTGAGATTCCGATAATGGAAACTAACTACATATGATGACAGAATACATAAATAATTTGTTAGCTTTGGTTTAATCTCCAACAATATTTACATAATTTGTTAGTATGGTCCACATTTTGCATATTGCAGGTGAAATCCCACATGAGATAGGCTATCTGAACTTGGAGGTAGTATCCATGGCGAAAAATGGACTTGTCGGTCACATACCATCTTCTATTTTCAACACCACTTCTTTAAAGTTCCTTAGTCTTGATGACAATAACTTGTCTGGGAGTCTACCATGGGATATGTGCTTGGATGCTCCTAAGCTTGAGACAATCTTTCTTTCCTATAACAAGGCAGTTACGGGAGACATTCCCACAAGTATTGGGAACTGTACTTCGCTCATGGTTCTATATCTTGGTGATCTTAATTTGACAGGTATAATTTTTTATCATTTTCTTAAACAAACGTTTAGATTCCTGTTCTTTGTGTAATTAACATTTTTATATTTTTTTGACATTTGATAGTCAATAATATTTAAAAAACACTCACCTGTCTTGAAAATCATATGATTTTTTTATTTATGTGTATAAAAAAATGAAACCTAAGATTTCTGTCACATTTCTCAATGTTAAAGCGTAATAACACCTATTAAATTTAACTATTAGCTAAAAAAGTAATATTGGTGTCATATTAAATATTACCCTAACCATTAAGGCAAAAAATATTAATCATACAATTAAATCTTATTTTATTTTTTCTTTCATCATTGAGTGTTTTATAATCTTTTCAAGTCAAGTCAATGACGCGGGCCGATTTATTCCAATCAATTACTCAATTAATTTAACTAAGTAATTATGTGATTGGAGCTTTCTAGCATGTTTAAGCCACTAAGCAATCAACTTATATTAATCAAACAAGTTAACAGTTTTAGCTTCTGGGGAGTTCATCATACATATGTAATGTACAGGATTTTAGTCCCCATGGACTGAAAGAGTGTTGAGATTGGATCCATAAGCTAAAGGGGTATAGTATAACTATATGGGTTATAAAAGATTGGCCTACACTAGCCCAGGTCACTGGATTTACCCACTTGGCGACAGTATTCAATTTTTTTTCTTACTTTTCAAAGTTTTAATCTGATTGTAAAATGAAATAGACGTTCCTCATATGATTAGGAGTATCATGAATATGGCATTGTTAATTGGTTATAAGTTAATAGCCAAACTTGGTAAGTTTTAAATTTAATTTAGGGCTTCTTTGATTAGTGATAGTTAAATCACGATCTAACAGTACGTATAAAAAGTATATACCTAAAGGTATTGGCCATCAATTCCATATATATATATAACGAGAGAGGAGGTGAGTTTGGTGTCTACATTTAAAATACTCACAATATTTCTCTTCTCTTTTTATCTTAGCTACCCATAATCATAAATAGTTTCTTGTAGTTTATCTCTTATAACCCTCATATCTCTCTCCCTTTTCTCTAATCTCACTCTAAAATTGAACACAGGTGACCGTGTGCAGGACCACTAGTGTGTGTGTGTGTCTATATATATATAAAGAGAGAGAGAGAGAGAGAAAGAATTGGTAGCATTAACTTACTTTTTCTTTTACATTTTCAGGTGCTATTCCACATGAAATTGGCAATCTTAACAATTTGGTTGATGTAGACATGGGTTTCAACCACCTCAATGGTCCAATTCCAACAGTAATTTTCAACATCACAACACTAGAAATCATATTCCTTCAGAACAATCATCTTTCAGACACTCTTCCATCAAGTATGGGCATTTGGCTACCTAATCTTAAAGAAATATATCTTGGATGGAATAATTTGAATGGAATTGTTCCCAACTCCATCTCAAATGCTTCTAGAATCACCAAAATATATTTTGGTTTCAACCAATTCTCTGGTACACTACCCAAATCATTGGGTAGCCTAGAACTCCTTGAAGATCTTGTGTTGCCATGTAACAACTTTACCAGTGAATCCTCATCTATGGGGTTAACCTTCTTCACTTCTTTGATAAATTGCAGACAACTAAGGGTATTGAGCATATCTGGAAATCCTTTCAATGGCATTCTTCCAGTTTACATTGGCAATCTCTCCACTTCTCTTTATACTCTCCATGCAAGCAATTGTGCAATTAAGGGGAACATTCCTAATGAGATCGGCAATTTAACCAATTTGGCATTCGTGGACCTTGATCACAATGACATAGATGGATTGATTCCGCCGACAATCAAAGAGTTGTGGAAACTTCAAATTTTGCATCTTGAACAAAACAGAATACCAAGATTTATTCCGAGTAGTGTCTGCCATTTAAGGAACCTAGGTTTTCTAGATTTGAGCAAAAATGAGTTTTCTAACTCTATACCAACATGCTTTGAAAATATTACTTCTCTAAGGTACCTCTATCTGGATTCTAATAAATTAACTTCCAACATACCCACAAACCTTTGGAGACTCAAAGATCTTTTGGAGTTGAACTTGTCTTCAAATTCTTTAACCGGGTATATATCACCAGAAATTGGAAGGCTTAAGGTGGTGACAAAAATAGATCTCTCGAAGAATCGATTATCAGGTATTGTCCCTAGCACAATTGTAGGCCTACAAGGTCTGTCGTTTCTATCATTAGCACATAACAGATTGCAGGGACCCCTACCTGAGTCACTTGCAAAATTGGTAAGCCTAGAGTTTTTGGATTTATCTCATAACAATATCTCTGGAACAATTCCAAAGTCCTTAGAGGCGCTCTTGCTTCTAAAATACCTCAATGTATCTCACAATAAATTAAGAGGAGAAATTCCAAATGGTGGACCTTTTGCAAATCTCACTTATCAGTCTTTTTTGCCAAATGAAGATTTGTGTGGTCCACCGAGGTTGCTAGTGCCTCTCTGCAAGAGTAGTTCTCTTAAAAGATCAAAGAAGAAAAGAATACTTCTAGCTACATATATCTCACTGGCAGTTGGATCTACTATTTTGGCCTTGGCCTTGATATTCTTTTTGATCAAACAAAAAAGGAGAAGTCATATTCCCCATGAAAATGATTTGTTACCTGCAATAACCCATGGAAGAATTTCATACTATGAACTTCGACGTGCAACTCACAAGTTCAGTGAAATCAACTTGCTTGGCAAGGGTGGATTTGGTTCAGTTTACAAAGGAATTTTGACGGATGGGACACATTTGGCTGTAAAAGTTTTCAATCTGCAACTGGAAGGTGCATTCAAGTGCTTTGATACAGAATGTGAAGTATTGCGCAACCTTCGCCACCGAAATCTGACCAAAGTTATCAGCAGTTGCTCTAATCTTGATTTCAAAGCAATAGTCCTCGAGTATATGCCCAATGGAAGCCTTGAGAAGTGGTTGTATTCCCATAATTATTTCTTGGACATCTTGCAAAGATTAGATATAATGATAGATGTCGCACATGCATTGGATTATCTCCACCATGGCTACTCGAGTCCTGTGATCCATTGTGACTTAAAGCCCAGCAATGTCATGTTAGATGAACATATGGTTGCACATGTTAGTGATTTTGGCATTGCAAAATTACTGGGTGAGGAGAGTACTGCACTAACCAAGACTCTGGCAACATTAGGGTATATTGCACCAGGTGATGCTTCTACCTTTTTAATTTATACCCTTTTTTGCATTTGGATTCTCTTTACAACTTCGGGTTTTTTTTTTTTGCAATATAGTATCATACAAACTGTAAAGTTCCTTACAAGCATTATAATTTTGTTGATGAATGTAGAGTATGGATTGGAAGGATTAGTCTCTACAAGGTGTGATGTTTATAGCTATGGCATTATATTGATGGAGACCTTTACAAGGACAAATCCCTGTGATGAAAAGTTCACTGGAGATTTGAGCCTCAAGAATTGGGTGAATGATTGCCCACCAAATGAGATAATCCAAGTTATAGATGCCAACTTAGTAATGCTAGAAGACGAATACTTGACTCTGAAGGTGCAATGTGTATCATCCATATTGGAATTGGCTTTGAAATGCTCTACAGAATCACCTGAAGAGAGGATTAGCATGAGGGAGGTTGTCGAAGCTCTCCAAAAGATTAGACTTCAATTTCTTGAAAAGTGTGAAAGGCCTTGACACATGAAAGTATTGTTCGACATTATCGTATAATTGCAAAATAATATAACTCTCACTCAAGCCTGAGTCTAGACTTGCAGTAAAAGTTTTATATGCTAACACCTTGATGTTGTTGCCACAAGTTGCAAGGTTTGACATGTGAAAGTTGCAAGGCTTACTACCAAAAATGTGTGTTGTAAGATAATAATTAAGATTTATTGCTCATTTGAAGTGAAGGTCGTAGAAATGTATTTTTGAAGTCTAAAATTGTTGCATGATCTATCAACACATTAATTTTTTAGGTAGTCCATTGTTGTTGATTATTCCTTCCCGAGTGCTTTTGCTATTAATGTTTAGAGGGAGGTGGGTGCGCCACAACACAATCAAAAGGACTTTTAGGAAAAAATAACCATTTAGAAAAAGCATAGAGTGGAAGAGAGGATCCTCCATGAAAATAACATGGCTATAGACTCTGGGGAGACAAGCATTTAACATAAGAGGGGGTCATAGCAATTATAACTCGTGTGATTCTCAGCTTCAGAAAGCCATTTCGGAGGCGATCTCATTATTTTTTATCAGGTCAAAAAAAAATTACTTGTATGTTTATGGCTGCACATAAAAATTTTATGTGATGAGGCCTTGTAAGATAAACCAGAAGAAGTTTATGGTTTTCGCACCACTTGTATGTTTTCTTTATGTTATTTGTTGTATTTTCATTTACTCCGTAAACTTTCTCTTGGTATTACATTCTCACAAAAAAAAAAAAAGAATTGTGTACACAAACCTACTCATGTCAAACCTAAAGATCTCACATTACTTTAAGTGGGAAAATAATGACATCCACTTTATTTATATAGTCAAATTGTTGTCGACAGGTGTTAAGCGAATCAAGTTTGTCAACCTTTGATTTTGTTGTCATGCTCGAGCTTTTACCTAGCTAAATAATCAACATTAGAATTTTCCTCAAGCTCAAACTCAGCTTACCAGAAGATTGTGAGCAATTGAGACAAACTCTAGCCCAATTTCCCATTAACATTTTTTTGAAAAATTTGACTTAGTGACTTAATAACCAACACAATGATTATAAAATTTGTAAACAAAATTTTTCAAAATCTAACTAATCAATAATAAAATAAAATCCTAGAAGTTTAATTTTTTTCAAAAAAAAAAAATCTGAGAAGACTGCAAGAAAAAAATGTATATGATCTCGAAGAGGTTTGTGGTTATATATGTCTCGGATTGGAGTTATTTAGCCATAATTATAAATTAGAACCTAATCGAGCCGAGTTTAGCTTACTTTGGTGGGTTAGACATTGCTCAGATTTGACTTATTTGTAAAATGAGCTTACTTGATTCAAGCATCACTTTGTAATTTGAAGGAGCCAAAACTAAGTCCAGGTTGAGCCAAAACAATGGTGAAAACTCTTATCCACCTCAGCAACTGCCTAAGTTTCCATTAAGTTCCTATTGGTAAGAAGTTACCATGAAATTTACACGGAGAGTTTTGTGTAAGACCCATGTATTTATTTAAATTGAATGATAGAATAATAAATATAATACTAAAATAGTTAAAGGGGGGCTAGGAAAGGCCCGCGTAATTTGGTACTTTGCAAGCGATTCTAACCTTTGAGAAAATTAAGATTATGTTCAGGACACATATCCTTTTGAATCCCAATGATATAATCATGTACAAACATATTTCTTGCACTATCTAATGATGCATAAAAGTGGATTTATGCAAGATCAACAGTCAAGTATATGATGCAAAGTAATTAAGGAAGCAATGAACAATAAAAGACAAAGATTCGGTGGTTGGGCCTAGGTGACCAAACCAATGAAGGTGGTGACAGTGACTGGAGAATTTTATTAATAAAATAGAAAGAGAGAGAGAGAGAGAGAAGGTAAGCTCTAGGTGAGATAGCTATATGGGAGAGATAGTTGTGTCAGAGATGATGTGTTCCTCATGTGTGAAGGACTTAAAATTTATAAGTACAGAGCTCTAGTTAAGGCGATGGTCATCGAGGGTGGGTTACTATTTTTTTGGGGAAGATAGCTACAATTAAAGATGGATATAACTAAGAATAGTTTTGATCTTCGAGCAGAAGTTATCCCGATAATTACTCCCCATGAACACTGATCTTCTTGGGTCTCTTGAACTTTGGACTGGACGGAATCCATGAGCTACTCTTGATCTGCCTTTTAGCTGGTTTGGGCCTAACCCATCTAAATTTGGGTTTGTCACTATCCATAAAATACAGATAAACTTCTAAGGATCCTAGCAACCTTTCCAATTCAATACCACCAAATATCTTGTGATATAATCAAACCAAAACAAGACTCTTAATGACTCAATTAATTTCCCTCAATTTAACAACATTAGTCGTCATAGTCTTAACGAGTATTCATAATTCCCAACAAAATATTAATGATATGCTAGCTACTATGATAACCTTAGCCTTTTATCCCAAAAACTTTCTTAATTTCCTTTCCATATGTCTCTAAGTTCATATCTATACCTCGATCTCCCATAAATCATATCTAAACATTGTAACTTTTCAGCCGTATCACGCAGGAGCGCTCAAGCGCCCTATCTTACTTAATAAAAGGGCCCAAAAGCTGCGAAGAAAGTCGAGTTGCTTTAATCGAGCTATGAAATTAGTGTGGTGAGGTATTGGAAGTGTTGAGCGAATTTAGAGGAAAACAGAGCATCATGCTATACTAGCAGGGCTTCAGCAAAATGAGGTAGGTAGCTTTCGCTAATGATAGATGGGCTTGGGGATTAGGTTTCCTAATTAATGGAATTCGTTTTCTCTTGACTTTATTAAAACTGAAATCTCCATTGACTCTATCTAAAAATGGAATCATGGAATTCTCTCCCAGAGTTGCGGAACTAACAACTATATTAGAAAGTAGAATTACCTAATTGCTAAAAGGAAGTGAAGCTTGATTGTCGGGGGGAAACAATGGGAAGGAAAAAAGAAGGTAGATTATTCGATTATATTTTCTCTTTTGGTAAAGATTCGCTTTAAGTGATAGGGGATGTGATTAGAATTCATCATTATCATCGAGACACCCGAAGGGCTAGCCATATGTACCTCGGGAGACCTAGCCCATTCAAATCAAAACAGAACTAACCTCAATCAAACACTATAAGAAGGGATCAACCTTTTTTCAAAGATTCCTTTTTTTTCTTTGGACCCTTCGCGCCATGCCCTCTGTCCCTTTCAATCAATAAAAGTTGGATATGTCTCTAATCTCTATGACTTTGACAGGACAACTACTTTACTTTGTCGATCACTAAGTCAGTCATTCAGTAAGTACAACATTCACTCTGATCAATATGTATAGTCACCAATCTAGTAAATCAGCGGGCAATGCCCGTAACTCAGATAACCCCACTAAGTAAGTCAAGAAAGTGATTCGCTTGGTTGTCAGGTAGGCCTGTCAAAATCCGACATGACACGATTAACCGACATGAATGGACACAAATTAAGCGGGTTCGAGTGGTAAACGGGTTAACCCGTCAGATACGTTTAATAAACGGGTCGTGTTCGAGTGAGACCTGTCAACCCGTTTACCCGTTTAAAAAAATAATATAATAATAAAATAATAATTACTTTTAAAAAATTAGTCAAAATTAAAATATTATATATAAACATATGGTAAATGAATAAAAAAAAATCCTACTTCAAAAAAATTAAGTACAGATTATTCACTTACCCCCTTTACAGTGCTCGACATGGGAATACATTGTTGATCACTATAGAGACTCTTTCTAGAGCTTTCAAATTTCAATCCAAACCCCCCTCCCCCTCTCTCTCTCTCTTTCTCTAGCATTTCTTGTTTCTATAATCTCTTTCTTTGGCTTCTGTAGATGAAAGATGGAGCTTAATCTGAGTTTGGGAGATTCATCAAAACCATTTGAGTTTTTGCCCCAGAATCGAGAGCTTACCACCACCATCAACAATATTGATTGAGGGTTCTGCATGACTTGGGAATCAACTCAAATCGAAGCCTCAAGAGAAAGCACAAGAACCTAGCCATCATGATTCTTCCGAGGATGACGATCGCACATTAGAAGAATCCATTAAAGCACATACAGAAGATGGTGTCGATCAAATGGTCTATCTCTCTCCTCCTGTTCATCTTGATCTACTCCCCTTTCGCTTATGTTCCACGTCTAACACCTTCAAATCAACAAACATTTCCTCGGTCCACTGATAATGGTAATCATTTATTTCTAATCTCTACAAATAAGTGGATACATATATTTACATGTAGTGATTGTTCGTCGCTAGTGGAATTGTTATCCATGTGTGTTGTTGATGCACAATGGATAGAATTGAGTCTTTGATTGCGACCCACCTTCAATTTGTTGTTGGTTGGTGTATTTCGACAGTGGGTTTGTAATATATAGTTGTGATTGGTGTTGTGGTTGAGTGGATCCTTGGCAGCGACGAAGTTCATCCCTCTATGTTAGATGTCTGTATGAAGAAAAAGGACGTTTTGTGAAGAAAACGGTGGTTTTGATCTAGAGAAAGTAAGCCCTGGAGTGGGTTTATAGACACTGAGCAAACAGTGAAAGCTTTTGGCTTGAATCCCACATTGACAAATTCAAATGAAGGAAACCTCTCATGCCTATAAAATGATGCAGCCTATTCCTTTAGTTATTAAACCTTCTCATTTACTTTTACAAGTGGCAGCTAGTTGGAAATTTTTTAATTAAGAGAGTACAATTAGTGTGGGTAATTAATAGAGTTTAAAATTTTAATAGGATAATTTTTTTGCTGCGGGTTAAAATTTTAATAAAATTAAACGGGTTAAATGAGTTGTGTCGTATGACCAATTTTATTGAAGTATGACCAATTTTTTGGGGCCAATATGTCTCTTCCTTGCTTTTTTTATGTTAACACTGATGGGTTAAGCCCAAATAGTCCAATTTATGTATTAAAGCCCAGCCCTGGTTGAGGAGCCCAACCTCATTGTGAATCCACCAAGTCCAAGACAGACCAAGGCCGGTT